GCAGAAGTACAGGGGGGTTTTATCTCGTCTCCTTTGGCCACCGAAGTGGCTGAGGTTTTCTTTGATTTTTCCAAGTTCTATCTCTATGTAGCTGATCTAGATTTTTTTTTTTCAATAAATATTTTTAGATTCATATACTGCAATGTGTTGTTATTTTACCTCTAGCTTTAACCGGATTGACATTCCGCCTTATGAGTCATACGAGAAGCTTTATGAGAAGCTGTTGACAGCTGTGGAAGAGACATGTGGGTTTGCTGTGGAGTGAAAAAGCAACCAAAGGAAACAGATGCTAGCTCATGGACCACCAAATCAAAAGCTAGAAGAAGCTTGCTGTGACCTTCCTGCTAAGCTGTCTGAAGCATCAGAACTCTAGACAACTTAGAGATGGGGCTGTTTCCCTTCCGCCGCTGGTGGATGAGGGTGGGGGTAGGGGCTTTTGTTGGTGGTTTCCAACTCTATTGTCTCCCCTTTGTTACAATAACCCCTTCCCTCTTCTTCCATCCCCCATAAAACGAAACGCAGCCAAGTTCAGCATTTGGCTTTGGTTACACAGGATATTCTGCTAGATTTGTAACACATATTGTGATAGGGTCAGTGACCTGTGGGGTTTTTTTAATAGGAGAATCAAAGTGTAATTAAGAATGAGCTTGATTTGCTGAGGACTTGCAGCTGGTAGGTGTACCTGGTTAGTTTGTCTTAAATCAAGCTTCAGCCCTTGTAGAGTCCAGTGAGTGCGGAGTGTCTGACTGGCACTGGAATTTGCATTGCACATTTTAAACACCTGTTTAAAAAGTAAAACTTCTAGCAGAAAATACCTCCGCATGAACATTTAACTGAAAGGTAAAGAAATCCAAGCTCTGCCTTAGCAGGAAGCTCCCAGTGGCAGCTCTGGCTCACCTCGAGAAAAGTGAAGGAATCTGGGACAGCTTAGATGGTATTGTATGACTTCTTTTTGGTTGTCCTGGCTGAAATCTAATTGTTTTGCACATGAAAACAATTATTTCATCCTGCAGAATTACTTTCCATAGTTTGTTCGGATGTAAGTACCTTGCAGAGAAGCCTTGTAAGGAGGAGACAAAGGATAAAAATCTATTCAATCCCAAAGCTGTGATTTCTGTGCCGCTGTTTGACCCAAGATGTGTTTGTGTGACTTCAAATTCTAAGACTTACATGGAAATCGCTGAAAGCTGAGTTAACAGAGCTGACTTCTGTTCCAAAGTTTTTGGCCTTGGGAAAGGTTTATTTGGAGATTGAGGTAAAAGGGTAACTATATAGTGAGTACATCTTAAATGTTACGGAAAGCTATTGGAAGAATTTATGACTTCAGTTCTGTAGGGATGAAAATTTCTCCAGAGAGCCTTATAAGGCTATTTTTTCAAATATCTGAAACTAATATTAAAGGGTTTGTTCTCTAACACATTGCTAAAACAACTTCCCAGGGGAAACAAAAGCAAATCAAATACCTGAATCACTAACATTTTTTCCAGTTTGTACACCAAGATGAGACAGTTTTTTAACGAATAACACTGCTTCAGAAAGGCCCAGTTATCTATCAAACCTGTCTAAACTTAAGTAAAGCAGACTTGCTTGTATAGGACTTTTTTCTTTGGCAAGCCTGATTTTTAGAGACTCATTACTGAAACATTTAACAGATGTTATGTTTATGGAATAGTGCATTGAAATTCAGCTGTGGGTAAGAGATCGGTCTTAGAGATGTCTACTGGAATACTTCTATTTTGTCTTTTTTTAATTGAATTTGATAATAGCTTTAAACTGTGATAGGACAGAAAGTAGACACCTGTCAAAACCCTGGCATCTGTCTCTGTTTTGTTTGTGGTTTTCTTTTTTTCCATTGGCCATAATTCTTGTGATTTTGTTGTTGAGAGTAAGGATTGCATTGGAGGTGTAAAACTGAACCATATTGTGAGATTTGCACGGGGTGGCTGAAGATCCTGCAAGGCTGTACAGGAGAGGCGTATTTAGACCCATGTTCTGTAGGAATCTTTTGGCACTTGGGGACCAGTTTCTGCAGTACTGGGTGTTGGGACAAAAACGAAACTATGTGACTCTTGAAGAAAAGTGAGGAAATGCAACTGTCTGCAGAGAAGCATCTGTACGGTCTTGGGCTGAGTAGCAGAATCCCCACAGCCCTGGCTTTCCAAAATGGCTGTGAAGTCGCACCTGTTCATAGAGTGTATTTAATCCTTTCAGTACGTTTGAATGTGCAATAAACCAGTCAGATAGGAAAAACGCAAAATGGATTATTGCCCAAAAGCTTTGCATGCAGTCTCATGTGGATTTTTCACTAAAAGTTTTTTTTAAAACAAACAAACAAAAAAAAACCCAAAAAACCAAAACAGATACTAAAGCCCACTGCTAACAAAAATCCTATCACGCATCACGCAAGCTCTACTACAGCACAACTGGCTCAGTAAAAGCCAAGCGAGGTGAAGGTAAAGGCCCTTGATTTGGAGATCCGTAGGTCAAGTAGCTTTATGTCAACGAGACAGTTGACATATGATAGTTCCTAATGTCTTTGCTAGGTCAGTGTTTATTGAATGCACAAAATAAGAATAGGCAAGGATTGGTGTTTTGAAAAGTCCGTCTGTTTTTTGCTGTATTTAAAAGCCCTTGTCCAGGTACCTCCTCCATGCTGACAGTAATGAGAATAGGGCGCTGTCTTTTTAATTATTTCCGTTCTCTTTTAAACAGCCTCACCACCTCTCCCATCGTGTCGTCTTTGCAATTTTGTGCCACTTCAGTGACGATGAAGACATTTTTTGTGTTTTCTGTACATGCATTTGAGGCAGGCCTTAAAGTTGGTTGGATGGATGGAGGGAAATAAAGAAGTGAGGCAGAATGGGTTTTAAGCGATGGCTTGTTCTTCCTACTGCTGGTTTCAAGGCCAGGGAAGGATGAAATGCAAACAAGAGTTTGCACGGCTTGAGTCATTGACTCTCGGAGGTCTCGGGAGCTGTTTGGATAACCTCAGCTGTCTGAATTTGTATGTTCATTCCCACTTGGTCTGCCAGCATTTGAACTGGTTGTTACTTCTCAGACTTGCCCAAAGAATAACATCAAGTCTGGTGTTCACTTTGTCATTACACATTCCACCTTGTACACGGATACTCTTGGATCTGACCTGAAGGAGATACGAGGTACAGTGTGTCTTTTGTTCCTGTCCTAAAGAACCTAAAAACCGGTCCACCGGCGCAGACCTTCAGTGCTTGCCCTGATACTGCTCATCAGCCTATACTATATGCTCAGGGATGTAGGAAACCACCACTTCGCTCGTGTTTTAAATCGGGAAGAAACGAGACTGTTTTATGAACGTTAGCATTAACTTGGGCATTATGTTAGACGAGACCCCGCTTCAACAAGGCTGCTCGAAGCTCCAGACGGTGAAATCGGCGTTTGCTCAGCAGTACGTGCTTAGTTCAAGTCCAGGTGGTTATAAAATCCAGCATTGTGTAAATCAGTGATCCAGCCACCAGGCCCTCTGGAGCCGGTGCCCAGGTTCAGGGCCGTGTGGCACAGCAAGTTCCCAGAAACACAGTATGGATCTGTTTTTAATTTGTTAATTTTTTTGTTCCTCAACCACTTTATAATGTATTTTTTTAATTTATTATTTTGTAATGTCATGTTTAAGTATTGCTGCTATCCTTGTTATTCTTCCCACTGTTTTTATTGCAGATTTATTTTGTGAAAGTTGTACACTAATGTTTCATTTTATGTCTAAATCAAAGTATTTAAAGAAATACTAGTTCTATTTAATGTGGTTATGGAACCAGCTGGAATAAACAGTGATTGTATAGTAGGCTGGACCCAGGAGGTCATGTTCATTTTTGTTACATATGCAATAAACTCACAACTTTAAAATCTTGGCATCCACCGTTTTGTTTGTTTAAAATATTTATGGAAGTCACAGGAGAATCGATACACTCTTAATTCGAGCGTGGTAGTGGTGTGCTTAGCTTAGCTGGGGATGGGGGCGGAGGATAAAGGCGGCAACAACAGAAAAATATTGCTGTCATTCCAAATTCTGTAGCATTACAAAATACTTGGCAAGGTTAAAAAAAACTAAGGGTTTGACAGACGCAGAGGCCAGCGTGATGAAGCTGTCCTGGTGTTAGCGGTGACCGGGCTCATGAATTTTGGTGTTTTCTCACAAAACTGGCTCACGCTGTTCTGAGCAGCAGCCTCTCTGCGGTGGGATTGTGGTTGCGGTAGCTGATTCGGTGGACAAGATACGGGAATGCAACTGATTTAACAGGTTTATATGGACCGCCCAGATAAAAGTCCTCCTCTCCAGGTAAACACTTCGTCTCATTCATTCTTGAACTGATTAATTACCAGCCTTAATCTTTTCCCCTTCTTACCTTACTATTTGTCCTATTATTTTCCCACCTCAGCTTTCGGGAAAGAAATTATAATCCTTCCTCCCTGCCATGAGAGTTGGAGGAAGATTCGTTAATGCTGATGAACCTCTGCTTTCCCGTTCGGTGGGTTTTTTCTAATTAGTTGTGTTTTGCAAGTGGCGGAAGAGGGGTACGAGTCTGAGGACGGCTCGGGGTGTGCTGCCGCAGAGCCTGCCCTCTAAAGCTGAAAGCCAGGGTTTCTTTAATCTGTGCACATTTTATTTATTTGTGGCGTTTTTTTAAAGGGGGGAACAGGGAATAATTCAATAATATTTTTTAATTCTTTGGGTAACTTCACAATATGATCAAAAGCACTAAGATAGAACGAGCAAACAGCTCTGGGGCTGGTTTCGCCCACCCCCTCGTTTCAGCCAGCAGCAGGGACTGGACAAATTCTGCTTGATGATGTGGAGCAAGAACTGCTCTCAGCCCTTCAGCGCTCTGCCAGACACTCATGTTTTCTTTAATAAACACTTTTTGGGAATTTCTGGTATCCTGCTGGTATGAGGACACAGCTAAGAGAAGAGGGGGATTCCTGTAGCCCGCTCCCGTGGATGCGGTGTGCTGTGGAGGGGTTGCTGTCGGACTTGTGCGCTACGTGAACTTTTTGAAGACGTGATAAATAAAATTAATATTTCTCCGAAGAAATCTTACAGAGCTCAAGACTGTCTCTTTTATGGAAGCTTGGCATGTCAATTAAATTCCTCGAGTTAAATTTTCCAGTCTCTGCAGAGGCAGCGAAGTACAAAACCAGACTACGAGCAGGAGCACCGGGCTCGTAGCGGCAAGTTCTTTTTCTGATTTACGACGCTGCTCCTGCGTCCCGGGCACGCTGCCTGCTCGGGGG